GGGGGGGGGGGCGGGACGGAGGGATAAAAAGCCGAACCAAAATTGCACGACCCAAATAGGCAAATCGAAGAAGAGGGGTGAAATCGTCAAGTGGTTGTTTGCGGCTGTTAGCAGGCCGAACCATACGTGACGGAAAAATAACGGCCGGTCCGGCCAGAGAAAATTCGGAACGGCTGAATTCCATAAATTTTAAACGTGGGAGGGTGGAACTGTTGATTACCTTCGCTTTCTGGTAATACTCGGCACTGGTGAGCCGATCATAACTGTTCAGCAAATTGCCCATTGGCTCTTTTTCGCCAACCAGTGCTTGCCGCTCCCTTACCTAAAATTTTTTTTTTCGGAATTTGCAAAAAACACAAACATAATATAAATTAAATTTTGCGCAACTATGTAACTAACCCAATCAAACTGTTAGCCAGCCAGTCTATCATTTAGACGGTCAGTTCATCTACCCAATCAAAAGGACACCTACTCTATTCCCGCCCCTCTTCTCTCCCTACATGACAGCACGCCATAAAACCCTTTTTTTGGAGAACAATATGGGCCGGTAGTGTAATGGATAACACGTTACGACTCGAAGGAACCCAACATAATGGAAATTAGTGGTTCAAAATTCCCTCTCGGCCCGCAATCATTTGTAATAAATAGGAGCGCCGTTCGTAAGAGACCATCATTAGTTATGTAGGCAACCAAAACGTCAATTATGCAGTCAAAAAAAAAAAAAAAAAAAAAAAAAAAAAACCCTGACAGTTAAATAATCGGGCAAACGTATGGATACTCAGCAAATTAAAAGCTGAAAAGAAAATTACAAAAAAATAAAAAAAACCTCATCTTCAATTTCTCGAGTCTGTCGATTAATCTGTTCCGTCAATGTGACATCGTTCTCCGGTAACTGATCCACCAGACGTGATTCACTGTTCGCTGTCTTCGGTGTATCCATCGCAAAAGCGTAGCTTCAAACCTGGAAAGTTTTGGTTTCGGCGCGATGATGCAGCACGGACGTACGTGAATCCAGAATTCGAGGATGAGGTCCCGCAGCAAAGCAGAGATCGACGCATCGCCGGAGGCGATGCGAAATGGTTCAGAAATTTTAAAGATACAAAAACAATGAATATCCCTGGCTAGGAGCTACTGGAAGAGGGCGGGGGTCTGAAATCTTCTATGTGCTAAAATATGCAGTTTGTCTGGCGTTGCTGGTCCACCAGCGTGGAGAGGAACACAATCGAATTTTGATAATTAATGAAAACACTGGAAGTAGTGCCATTTAATAGATCCCCCAAATAGGCAAACCAGGAGTTTTCGCAAATAAGCCTCGCGGAAGAATTCGAGACGGCAAGTTTTCTAACCCAAAAAATTTGAAAACCAGTCCAAACATGGCCATGCAGTCATAAAACACGATACTTCGTGCGCACTGCAGTGAGTCCAGAAGCAGCAAGAAATCGAGCACAACAAATCCAGAAAAGCGGAAGATCACATACCGGCCAGTGGAGCGATCCAATCGGTTTCTTTCTGAAAGAATTCCTTTCAGGACATTAATCACCGCTAGCCACCACCACTAAAGCTGTTACAGCACTCTTGTGTAAGGCGTGGAGGTAAAGTTCTAGGGAGGGCTATGAGGGAGTGGATGAGGTCGGAGAGGGAGGGGGGGAGGAGGGAAAGATGTTAAGGAAGGACATTCAGAACGGAGCAAAGTTCATAAAACTCTATTCTTCCTGGTTCGGAGTTTAGTTTTGCTGTGCAAATATTGTGTTAACGCTTCAGTGATTGCTAAGGGACTGAAGCCACCATGATGAAACTGGGGAATCACTTAGCACCCTCAATATGTTTCACAAATGTTGCATCGGAAAGTTATTAAAGTACGGGATCGTTGCCGTATTTTAACAATTCAAACTATACTATTATACACCGGGTATATGGCAGTTTGGACATGTTTACGATTGGTAATGGTAAGAAATGTATACGATTTAATGGGCCGAAACTTTTCTTACGACTGCCTCGTCTGTGTGTGTGTATGTGTGTATGTGTGTGTGTATGTTTGTGTGTGTGTGTGTGTGTTCGTCTGTCCGGGTATTTC